AAAGACGATCCTGTCTGGCTGAGTGAGGATGGAGGCTAGCGGGGATGTCGCACTAGTACCTAGCAATTGGGGTCGCGACGACGCACCAAGGCGTGACTCAAGACAAGCGACGGACGTCACAACCACTTGATTCGTTTCTGAAATTACCAGCACTCACGCAGCGCACACATTCCGGCCGAGCCAAGAAATGCAATCTCAAACGTCATATTTCGTTTTGCTTAGTCCACAATGGCATTCAACACTGCGCTTCCTCCTCGTGACGCGGTGCACAGCGTCGCGCTCATGGTCGACGATGACAAAGTGCAGGCGGCGGCGCAACGCGAGGGCTTGCAGCTCACGTATATTTCGTGGGAAGACTGCGCCCGCTTTCAGAACAGTTGCTGGGGCCCGTGCATCTCGGACATGACGCTCGTCGTCCAAGACACGTGGATGCCCGTGCTCCGGGCGCCCAACTTTCAAGGTATCAAGCGCTTCAAGATGTTTTCTGATTTGTATTTTCTTATTTACTGATGGTGGTCTTCTAGATCCTATCATGAGCATCCCGACGCGCCAGATCATGCTGACGGTCGGGAACGAGTCGCCGTACACGGACGCACCGTTGACCAAGATCTCGCTCCAAGAGTACCTCGAGACGATCGCCAAGTACACGGAGCTTGAGCACAGCTTGTACGCACCAGAGCACGACGACCAAGCGGTCGTGAGCACGCAAGCGTGTTTCTTGCCGATTGAGAAGGAGGCCGAGACCAAGACCGAGTTCCACGTTGGCTTGTTCAACTACCAGTCGCGGGAGGATGACCCGGCCGTGCTCGTCTTGGTCTGCACGGACGCTGGCACAAGGTACATTGACATCTCTGAACCTTTGTCAACGGGGGGAAACGGAGTAGTGCGCAAGTCGTGAGGCGGCGCGACACGGCCCTCTTTTGCAACCATCACGGTATGAAGCACTCGTTTGCGGCAGAGCGCTTGTCCCAAGACCGCGCCAAGCGAGGGGTCGACGCCGCCGAGGACGCCATGACGGCAGACGAAGAAGCACGCAACTACGTCATGATTGTCCAGATCCCGCTGCAACAAAAGCCGAAGCCCATGCGTCGACCTAGTTCCACGCTCCACAGGTTGAACTCCTCGGGCGCACGAATGAGGATGGCACGTTCCGCCGCACCGTCAATGGTGGATGTGGAAGCCGCGATCATCAGCATCAGCGACGACGCCAAAGGCCCGTACCCCAAGCTGAGCCGCTTTAGCCACGTGCAGCGAGACACGCGGTTCCCAGTCCGCGTCACAGTGCAGTTTTACCAAGCGACAAGCAACGGCGTCGTAACACCCGACGTCGTCCGGGGGCTGGCCACCAAGATGGCGTCGGTCAAGACCAATGCAACGTGGTGGGGGTCTCTCGTCACGCCCCGCCATCGCATTCCGTACCCGCCAACGAACAAAGGTGCCATGCAGTGCGCGCTGCCAAAGGACAAGGAGGTCCCGGGGACCGCCACCAAGCGCACATTGTGGCAGCGCATGGCCGACTTGTTCTAAGCTGCTTGTTGATATTGCACTCCACTAGTACATGCATGCTTGCACCAATATGAAATCTTGGCTTATACTTGTGATACATCTTTTGCTTCTCGAGTCTTTAGTTAATCGTGTAGGCTGCCACGATTGATTGACAGTCCATATCCGGATATCCGGATATTGTGATTTCGCGCCATTTTCATGACAAAAAGTCGGTTCTTTCCAGAGTTCCCTTGGAGAGCACGATTTACTTCTAGTCGCTGGGCAGCGCCAACTCGCCAAGACAATGCAAACAAAGTCAAACCATCATGTCCACCGGTGTAGTCTCTGCAAGCATGTAGTTAGTTAGTACAACATTGTTGCGTTGTGCGGCGAGCACTCTCAAGGACCGCGGTCCATTGGCACCAAGCGAATGAGCTCTGAGAACATCGGGGACCGTGTCCACGTCGCAGGCTGGTTCGGCGTAGACGTCGTCACCACCTGTCCTTTCGACCCCCACGACGCGCGCTCCAAATTTCTACGCGGGTCGTTGCCACGTTTATTGACGACACATTCTGTAGTGTCCCTCTATGGCGTCTCTCGACAAGGTGTGGACCCGGCCCGCAACCAAGGTCCAGCAACACCTTGAGCTAGGAGCGATCGACCATTGCTTGTCGCGCGTGTCCGGCGCCATCTGCGAGCTCAGCTCATCTGCGGTTTTGCGCAGGCCGTTATGCTCCTCACCGGATGTCGTCCGAATCCCACAGTCCATTTCGATCGTATTTGCTATCATTTTGACATTGCGTCCAGCACCCAAATTCCATGCGCGAGAGGCTTGTCGTAGTCATGTTGCTGCTCGGCGTGCTTGGCGCCGCTGCGCTCGACCCGATCGTTGCGCGCGGCAACCGCCTCTACAACGCGCGGACTGGCACCCGCTTCGTCATGCGGGGCATGACGTACGAGGGCGACGTGAGCGACGACCACTACGACGAGTTTGTGCACAGCACACTCGAGACGTCGCTCAAGGACCTTTTCGGGCACTTCAACACATTTCGCCTGTACAACATCAACCCGGACAAGTCGTACGCCAAGTTCATGGCGCACATGAACACCCGGGGTATCTACGTGCTCCCATCAGCGTCGCCGACCAACAACAAGTACTACGACTCGTATGCAACGCAGACCATGGACCGGACCGTCAACGGCGAGTCCTCCTACACGAGCATCGACCACATTGTCAAGCCCTTGGCGGCCAACACGAAGAGCTGCTACCCGACCTACTTGCTCTACTATGGCAAGCGCGTACGTGTCATTGGATGGTATCAACCTAGTGACGTGACGACAACATGTAGATCATCGAGAACTTTGCACAGTATGACAATACGCTGGCGATCGTCATTGGCAATGAAGTGCTGCAGCTCGACCTCACGGCCGCGGCGTGCGTCAAAATGTACGCAGCGGACCTCAAAGACTGGATGGGCGTCAACGTCAAGAAGCTGCGCACGATTCCTTTGGCGTATTCGGCGGCGGATGGCGCGTACACGGAGCTCGTGAACGGCGTGCAGAAGCAAGTCCTCTCGGCGACAGCGTACCACGCGATCAAGATCCAGGGGCTTCTCTGCGGCGACACGATGGTCCACGGTGTCATGACCAAGAGCATCGACATGTACATGATCAACGAGTACCGGTGGTGCAACAAGAACGACTTCAAGTCGGCCTACCAAGAGCTGCTCGACCTCGCGCAAGGCGTCCCGATCGTCTTGGCGATCGGCGAATTTGGCTGCGCGACAGCGCGGCCGCGGACATGGGAGATGGTCCCTACCCTCTTCTCCGACGCGGTGACGTCCAAAGGCTGGACCGATGCGTACTCGGGTGGCTTTGCGTACGCGTTTGGGGAAGCGTCGCTGCCGCGCGGCAGTATATTCCCGCTCTTTATTGGTACAAACGCACGAGAAACAGTTGATACTAACTTGATACAGGTGCGGCCGACACGGGCATCACGACCAAGCCAGGCACAACGCCGACGCCCGACTACGCCACTCTGCTGCTCCAGTACAAGAAGGCGGTGGCGCTGGTGGCGCCAGCGGAATTTGCGCCCGCGGACGTCTGCTCGTTTGCACCGACGCTGACGACGGTGCCCACGGCACCGGCGGCGGTGGCGGCGACATGGATGCCATCGTGTAACAACCCCACGCTCAAGCTCCGGTCGTTCGACACGTGGATCACGTCATCGCGGCAAGGGCGACCTTGTGATAAGAATGGTGCGTCGTGCGAAGTCGTCTTGCAAGACAAGGTGGGCACAACCCAAGAGGACATTTGCGGAAAGCCGCTCGTGGTCGAGAGCGGTGGGAGCCTCTGTACGCCGGGCGACAGCACGTGCAAGCACGGTAGCTGCGTTGCACTCTCGGCGACTGCAGGTCGCTGCGTCTGCAGCGGCTGCTGGGGCGGCTCGACGTGCGCCGTCAAGGACAACGACAAGTGCAGTGTGATTCCCAACCTGCCGCAGGCACCAACCATCATCTTTACGGTCCTCGCCATCTTCCTCGGCGGTATGACGCTGGTCTTTGGCGCCCTTGCGATCGTTGCGCACAAGGGCATGCACACGTCCAATACGTCTGCCGAGGTCTATAACGCGCTATAACTATTCTATACTTGCAATTTCTTTATGCGTGGGTGAGGCGTGCCAAGGAAACCTCGTACAATGAGTCTACTGCAAGACGCCGGCTTCCTTGAGGAGCGTCACGAGCTTGCCGTCGCGGTGGAGCTGGGCCACGTCGTCGCCGCCGCCAATCGTCTTGGTCTTGATAAAGACATTGGGAACGGTGTGGCGACCTACGTACTCTCGCCGTTGAGTGCAATGCTTGGCACCGGAGGACGAATGCGCACCAGTTATCTCGGCCAGCGACTGCAAGATGGCGTCGCCATTGGGCATCGTATCGAGCTCGTACACGGTGAACGGGACGCCGACCGAGTTGAGGACGTTCTTGGCCTATTCATGGGGTTTAGCCCTTGGCGATCGATGCTAGCGGGACGTACCTTGGTGCAGTAAGGGCAGTACGTCTTGCTGAAGACGCTGACGCCGTTCGTAGCGAGCGCATTCTCGACAAACGACTTGGATTCGGGGGTCGACGAGTTCGAGTTGCCCATGTTCTTTGCCGGGGATCAGTAAAAATGAACATTCAACACAAATACTACAGTATTTTCATTCACTGAAATAATGTGAGACACGTGGAAGCCCAACGAGCTGCTCCTAGCGGCGCATGCAGGTGCTATGGTCATGCGTTACTTGACATGAGCACCCACGCCCTACACAATACTAGAGACAGATAGCCTTTAACAGCCCACACGAATAAAACATCGTTTGTCAAGACCGTCGTTTGTGTCAAGTCACACTATTCCCCATCTCACACCATTCTTGAAATGACTTGAACCAGCGCTGTGATTGGCTGCGGCTTTTGAAAAGCCGGCTTCGGGGGATCTTTGCCGATCCAGTTTGCACTTCACCTCGTCCGCAGACAGTCCAGCCATGTCGGGGAAGGCCTTTGTCCAAGACGCGCTCGCCAAGAACGGCGTCACGGTCTTCAGCAAGACGTACTGCCCCTACTGCACCAAGGTACGTCCCGCTAGCATCGATCGCCAAGGGCTAAACCCCATGGATAGGCCAAGAACGTCCTCACGTCGGTCGGCGTCCCGTATGTCGTGTACGACCTCGACAACCTCGCCAACGGTGACGAGATCATGGACGCGCTCATTGAGCTCACAGGTACGCGATTCCATTCTGATGGCTCGCAGCGAGGCTCTGATTTCTTAGGTCGCGATACCGTCCCGAACGTCTTTGTCAAGGCGACGACGATTGGCGGCGGCGATGATGTGACGCAGTTGCACCGCGAAGGCAAGCTCGTGCCTCTCTTGCAGAAGGAAGGTCTCCTGCAGTAAGCGTCTCGCAGTACAATGTAGTGCGTCGATCAACAGGCCCGCATGCGTGGCCTGCGAGAACCAGCTACATACCATTGAACCAATGTTCTATCTTGTGTGTGGCATCATTCCCTTGGTGGCTAGCGAGAATGCGGCTTGTTGGCCTTGAGATGGAATGCCACCGACGCAGCTGAATGTTCACGCATACGTTCACGAGATTCGATGGCTCAACGGCGAAGTAGCCACAGTTGCAGCCGGCTCCTGCAAGAGTGCGTGTACTCCTGGCACCAAACTGCTCACGATTTGCGGCTCCCTCGGACCACGCCGACTCCATGCATGACCATTGGCATCATTGTACATGGAGTAGAGACTCGAGGGACGTCTCTGGACGGCCTCTGTCACGCACCCGCCGTGCACCCCCGTAGCGTAATCGAACCCGACGATGAATCCGAAATGGTGTAATATGCATTGTGTGTGCTTTTCTGCCTTGTGCTCGCGCGCGTTCGACATGGAGTATAAGCAACACAGAGACAATAGCTTGCATGGCGTCAGTGCTCTCGGTCCGAGTCGCTTCCCCTCTTGCGATGGCCGTGGACACGTGTATTACACTATTTCATGTAGGGTGCTTAGATTGGCAAAACACACGCAAAACCCACCGATGTGGGATTCCCGTGCGACCTTCCGTGGCACTTCAGATCATCCCGATCGCATCTCAGCATGGCGGCCGTTGTCGTCCACTCGTCGTCCTCGTCGTCGCGGCTCGGCGACTTGGAAGAGCTCGCGCAGCACGACCACGAGTTCCTCTTCAACAACCCGTTCATTCGGTCGGGCTACCGCCTGCACTACACGTCGCCGACGGAGTGTGTCAAGTCGCTCTTCCAGCTGCACAACGAGACGTGGAACGTATGGACGCATCTCGTCGGCGCGCTCCTCTTTGGCGTCTTCTTTGCCAGCGTCGCCTTGTACGCCGAGGCGGGCTTGTACCACACGAACGTGCTGGCGCCGCCGCCGCTCGCACTCGCCCACGGCCAGCACACGCGCGAATACTTTCTCGAGTACATTGCGCCGCCCGTCATCCCCATGTACTACGCCTTGCGCCTCGACAACCACGCGGCGATCCGCGACCACGTGCATGTGGCCAAGGCGCTCTTTGGCCACTCGCTCGCCCGCGTTCCGACGCTTGCCGAGTTGCACCCCGTGCTCGCGGCGCAGATGAGCGCCGACGTCCAGTCGACACTCTCGTCGTACTTTGCGTCCATGGCGTCGTCGCTCGAAGCGCTCCAGGCCCAACTGCCGCCGCACTGGCCGCGCCCGAACGCGACCACGGACGACAACTGGGCGGTCGCGTACAACACGTTGCACCCGTTGCAGCGGCAGCTCCACGACAAGACGACCGAGCTCCGCGCCTACGTGCGGGCACTCCGCGACGACGCGCAGCACCAGGCGCCGCTCCAGCTTGTCCTGCACGAGTTCCACACGTGGTCCGAGACGATCGCGAACGGGCTTGCGATGCTCACCGCGATCCATCCGACCGAGCTCCTCACGCCCGAGCTCGCGACGTGGCCGATCCTCGTGTACATCGCCACCGCCTTTCTCTGCATGAGCTGCAGCACGGTCTACCACCTCTTCTTTGTACAGAGCGCCAAAACCTCGATGACCCTCATCCAGCTCGACTACGCAGGCATCATCCTTCTCATTGGCGGCGCGTTCTTTCCCGTCATCTACTATGGCTTCTACTGCGACATGGCCCTCGTCACATGGTACCTCGGGGTCGTCAGCGTGCTCTCGCTCGTCTCGTTTGTCGCGTCGCTCCACCCGGCCTTTGACGAGCACCCGATCGTGCGCACGGTCGTCTTCCTCGCGCTCGGCTTCTTTGGCCTCGTCCCGCTCGGGCATCTCGTGTACGAGCACGGCTTTTGGGACCCAAACGTGCAAGTGATCTTGTACCGCCTTCTGGGCACCGCCGGCTTTGACTGCTTTGGCGCCATGCTCTGGGGCCTCCGCGTGCCCGAGCGGTTCGCGCCCGGTCGTTTCGACGTGTGGTTCTCGAGCCATCAATGGTGGCACCTATGCGTCGTGGCCGCGACCACGGTCCACTACTTCAACGCGGTCCAGCACTACGAGTGGCGCGCGCAGCATGGCTGTCCGATTCGCATGTAGCGTAGTATGTACATCTAAGATCTTATCCCATACCTCTTCGTCGTCTGCATCATCCTCGCCATTGGCGCCGCGGCAAAGACAGTCCGGTGCGCTGCGTGCTTGCGTCCGCGCGCCCTCCTCCGCGCCGTGTCTCTCGCCCGCGCCTTGTCTACCAGCGCCTCGCCATGGCCGCTGCATGCAGCCATGATCGTCGATGGACCGTCGACATGAGGATCGATGGTCAATGGTCACCGTCTGCCGATCCCTCTCCGCAGCCGCGCCCGTAGCAATCCAGTCGAACCACACGAAGGCTGCCGTCGTTACTCACAAACCGGTTCGTTGAACCGGTTCATTGAATCCGGCGACAGAGCACCTTCGCAAGTCGTTTTTTCCCGACCCCTACCCGCCCCCGAGTCTTTTTGGCCAATCACATGCTAGGCGATGGCATTTCGACCAATCAAAACGCACGAGGGATGCATCTGCGCCTCAGGCGTCGTGATGCTTGCACCATCAGTGGTAGTCATTTGGCTGCCTCTTGGTACCCAAGAATTGGTGTTATTCACCAAAAGTCGACCAACCACTGAAATGCTCGGTCGTCTCCTCGCGACGAAGGCGCTGCCCCGCGCCGCCACCCGCGGCTTCGCCGCCGCCGCCGAAGGCCACAAGTTCCAGCTCGCCAACTCGTTCAAGCTCCACAGTAGGCGACGACGCGAATGGCGTACCGAGCACTCATGATGGCGTAGACTTGGAGAGCGGCCCGGAAGGCGGCGACTATGCGTACGCGACGCGTGAAGAGCTCCTTGGCTACTACAAGCTCATGTACACGATGCGCCGCATGGAAATCACGTGCGACAATGAGTACAAGGCGCGCACGATCCGCGGTTTCTGCCACTTGTACGATGGCCAGGAGGCGGTTGCGACCGGCGTCGAGGCGGCGTTGAACCGCACCGACTCGTGGATCACGTCGTACCGCTGCCATTGCACGATGCTTGCGCGCGGCGGCTCGGTCACGGGCATCCTCGCCGAACTCTTTGGCAACAAGAACGGCGCGATCGGCGGCAAGGGCGGCTCGATGCACTTCTACAACAAGAAGAACAACTTTTACGGTGGCCAGGGTATCGTCGGCGCCCAGGTGCCGGTCGGCGTCGGTCTCGCGTTTGCGAGCAAGTACAACCACAAGGGCGACGGCCTCATGCCGTGCTCGATCACGATGTTTGGTGATGGCGCCGCCAACCAGGGCCAGATCTGGGAGGCTGCCAACATGGCCGCGCTCTGGAAGCTGCCGTCGATCATCTGTATCGAGAACAACCACTACGGTATGGGCACGTCGACCGAGCGCCACTCGTCCAACCAGGTGTACTACACGATGGGCAACAAGATCCCGGGTATCTGGTGCGACGGCAACGACGTCCTCGCCGTCCGCGAGTGCATCAAGTTCCTCAAGGAGTGGACGGGCTCCAACAAGGGCCCGATCTACGTCGAGATGTGCACGTACCGCTACCACGGCCACTCGATGTCGGACCCGGGTGTCACGTACCGCAACCGCGAAGAAATCTCGTCCATGCGTGCGTCGCGCGACCCGATCGAGAGCGTGAAGAAGCGCCTCTTGGACGCCAACCTCGCGACCGCCGACGAGATCAAGGAAATTGAAAAGCAAGTGCGCAAGGAGGTCGTCGAAGCGACGAAGGAGGCCAAGGCCGAGGGCCGCCCCGACGAGGCGGTCGCCTTCAAGGATATTTACACGGACGGCAACGGCAACAACGAGTTCCCCGAGTTCATCCGTATGCCCGACTACAAGAAGAGCCTCTACAACGGCAAGCCGCGCAACTAAACCCTCCTCGCTCTACCCCTAATACATCATACAGGCGTCTCCCTATATACGTCCTGTGCATTGCATCATAAAGCGATGATGCGCGATGGTCGAGACGGCGCGAGGACGTCCGCCACCGACTGCGCCCCTTCGACTTCGAGTCGGTACTGGATTCTTGAGAAATCCAGTGGCCAGCATGCCGGTCCCGTCCCAAGTGAACCGGGCTCGCGATTAATGACGCAATCATGTGACGTGGCACGCCCATATGGCTCGATCTCGGGACTGCTCGTGGAGGGTCAATACAAAATGACCCTGTAGAAGCACAATCACGTAAGGTAGGCTTAAGTATCCTTGCGCTTGCGCTTCGCGCCTTGCTTGGTGGCTACAAAGTTCGGGACACCGGAGCTCGGCGTGTTAACCGTGACGAGGGACCCCCACCACGTCGCATTGGTCTTGACCGACGCCATCTTGGTGGCCAGCGCCCGGACGACGTCGGGTGTCACGACGCCATTGCTCGTCGCTTGGTAAAACTGCACGGTGACGCGGATGGGGTATCTCGTGTCTCGCTGCGCGTGGCGAAAGCGACGGAGTTTCGGGTACGGGCCTTTGGCCTCGTCGCTGATGCTGATGATCGCGGCTTCAACATCCACCGTTGACGGTGCTGGACTCGCGACCACACTTTGCCTCACGCAGCGGGAGCGACGAACCTTTAGCTGGGGTTTCGGCTTTTGTTGCAGTGGGATCTGGACAATCATGACGTAGTTGCGTGCTTCTTCGTCTGCCGTCATGGCGTCCTCGGTGGCGTCGACCCCTCGCTTGGCGCGGTCTTGGGACAAGCGCTCTGCCGCAAACGAGTGCTTCTTGCCGTGATGGTTGCAAAAGAGGGCCGTGTCGCGCCGGCTCACGACTTGCGCACTACTCCGTTTCCCCCCGTTGACAAAGGTTCAGAGATGTCAATGTACCTTGTGCCAGCGTCCGTGCAGACCAAGACGAGCACGGCCGGGTCATCCTCCCGCGACTGGTAGTTGAACAAGCCAACGTGGAACTCGGTCTTGGTCTCGGCCTCCTTCTCAATCGGCAAGAAACACGCTTGCGTGCTCACGACCGCTTGGTCGTCGTGCTCTGGTGCGTACAAGCTGTGCTCAAGCTCCGTGTACTTGGCGATCGTCTCGAGGTACTCTTGGAGCGAGATCTTGGTCAACGGTGCGTCCGTGTACGGCGACTCGTTCCCGACCGTCAGCATGATCTGGCGCGTCGGGATGCGCATGATGGGATCTATAAACATATAAGAAAACACGTTCAGCGAATAAGAAAACATCTTGAAGCGCTCGATACCTTGAAAGTTGGGCGCCCGGAGCACAGGCATGCGCGTGCGGCGGGTGACGAGCGTCATGTCCGAGATGCACGGCCCCCAGCAACTGTCGATGAAGCGCGCGCAGTCTTCCCACGCGACGTTGACGACGTGCAAGCCCTTGCGCCGCGCCGCCACCTGCACATCGTCATCGTCGACCATGGCCGCGACGTTGGCGACGGCGCTGACGCCCTTGGACCGGCCAATCTTGTTGCTGTCCATACGCGCGTCGAAGGGGAAAATTTATTGTTTTTGCCTTTCTAGGAATGTAGGTATGTGAAACGGAGCGCACACACTCTTGACCCTTCTTGTCGCGACCTTTGTACGTTTGAGATGGCGCTTTTGAGATTGCCATTTGAGATTGCACTTTGAGATTGCACTTTGAGATTGCACTTTGAGGTGGCGCGTTGGCGACAGTCCCAATCAAGCTGTACGACGCCGACGAGCTCTCATTCGAATCGGTGGGACCCAGAGATGACATCGGCAAGTTTCATCATGTCATCCAAAGACAAGTTCCGTGCTTGTTGCTAAATTATACTTTGGGGTACACTACCGTGACTACTGTACGAAGCGCGAGGACGCCGAGCATTCCGACGTGCTCGGCGGTCGCGCAGAAGACTAGACTAGGTTCTAAAAGAGAAAGTACCGGCGCGCGGCTGGCTTGGCCACGTCGTTGGACGACCGCCGGCGCTGTGCGGCTTGGCTGGCCTGGAACTGCCGCAGCCGCAGTGTATCGTCATCGAGCCGGCTCTCGTACTCGGATGAGTCGAAGAGGATCGCGCCGGCCGACGGCTTGCGCGGCTGCGAGATGGTGGTGGTCGACGAGAACGAGCTCTTGCGCGACCCGTTGGCACTGCTGAGGCTCGCAAGCACCTGCGTCTGTTGCCGGACGATGCTCGCGATCTTGTGCGCCTGCTCTGTCACCTCGACGATCTGACGCGACCGCGCAATGCAGCTCTGGATCGAGTCGAACTCGCGCAAGGTCGTCTCGGTGAGCTGCTTGCGCTCGTCCGTGCTCTCGTCGTCCGTCGTCGCACTCACATCATCGTCATCGTCGTCTTCTGAGTCTTCCGAGTCGGACGAAAGCACCTCCGAGTCGGCGGCAATGATGCGTGCAATCGCAGCGTTGTCGTCCCGGCTCGCGTGGAACTCGGAGAGGACGCTCGCGAGCTCAGTCGCGCCGACTGTCGTCCGCCGCCGATGGTACCGGTCGAGTGGCACGACGTTCCGGGGCGGCGACAAGGGCAACATGCGGCGCATGTCGTCGTTGGTCTCGCGCAGCTGGGCAATCGTAGCGGCAATCTCCGGCGCACCGACGGTCACGCGGCGCCCCGCGCGGAATGAAGGCACGCGGCTGTCGCTCGCTGCGCGCACCGGAAAGGCGGTCGGGAGCGCGTCGTGAAGCGCTGAAAACACCCGGTACTCGTCGCGGACGTGGAGGCGCACGGGTTGCAGGATGTCTTCGATCATCTGGCGCCCGGGCACGTCAGGTACACTGCAGCAGCTCGACGACGTGCCGTCGGACGACGACGTCAGCGATGTCTTGAGGTCGGCCGACCCACGCCGGTGCGTGAGCCGCACCTGGATGACGCACGCGGTGCAGACGCGGAGCTTGCGCATGCCAAGCTCGGGCACTTCGGCGTTGCGAAGCGCCGAGCATTTGCTGCAGACGACATTGCCGCATTTCAGGCACGTGTACTTGTGGCGGTAGAGCGACATGAAGGGCTTGGTGCACACTTGGCAGTTGCCTTGGTCTTCCGCGAGCGGAATGACCTGCTGCGGCAAGACAAAGGCGTCGCGGCGCATGCGTTGGTACTCGATGTACTTGAGCGTTTTGGAAATGCACTTTTCGACATGCGACTGGATCGCCGCGTTGGCCGCCCACGTCGGAAGGTCGCCGTTCTTGTCGATGCTGCAGCTGTACGTCATGCGCAGCTCGCCAGCCTTCTTGGTCGTATAGTAGATGAAGCCGACGAGCGGGACGCTCTCGCGGGCAAACTTGCCGGGCGTCTCGAGGTACGTCGGAATCTCGACGCTCTGCATGACACGGAACGACGTCTTCCGGCCTTGCGCGTCCTCAATCAAGTCGACGTACTCGAGCAACACAAAGTCCTTGTCCTTGACGAACGGCGTCGCGCTCTTGAACGCCGCCCACTTGAGGCCCACGTACTGGAACGGCCGTGCCGGCGACGGCAGCACAATGTTGGCGAGGACCGCGCCGTCTAAAAAGTCGGACGAGAGCATGCCCATCATGGCCTTGTACGACTCGGTCGTCGTCGTGATGAGGTTTTCGGTCACGTCTTCGATCTCGGCCGCGAGCTTGGTCGCGGCGTGGACGTTGACGGGCGCGATGCCGCAGAGCTCGGTCCGGTGGATCGCAAAGTTCTTCTTCTCATAGACAACCTTCCAAGGCAGCGCCTTGGCCATGCTCGTCGCGTCGAGGAGCGCCGACGTCATGTGCTTGGCGATCTTGGTGAAGTGCGCACGGTCCGGGTCCGGCAGCTCCATGACGACCGCGGTGGCAAGTTGAGAAATGGCGATCGCAAGCGGAGCGGTTGAAATGGCCGGTTGTTGCACTGCAACCAGTTGGTTGCCGAAACGCACTTTGCAGTTCAGTGGCCACACCGCCGACCATCCACGTCAAAACCCGCAAGTGCTTTTTAGTCGATACAAAGTCGACTATAGTACTAGACAGCGATAACGTTAGCGGCTGTTGCCACTGACGCGTGCTGGAAGGCAAGGATCGAGACAAGGCGTTCGCGCCGCGGATGGCCTCCAACATGGAATTTCGAACGGCGGAAGATTGCGTTCAGCACGTCGCAGCCACGAGAGGATGCCACGCTACACGAGGAGATAGCTTGTTTACTGCGGCGGTAGAAACAGTGCTGTCCACGCACATCGACCGCTTCATCGTCGTCGTCGCTCGCCCTGTCGCGTGTGCTTGTCTGCGTCACGGCACGCAGGATTGGCATTTGATGCAAATAAGATCTGAGCGCTTGGCTACTGCGTACATCTTATCCTACGGTACGCCATAGCGATATACGACCAGCTAGGAATGATTCATTCGACACATCTCGTCGCCTTGCAGTGCAAGATCGCGCGCTTCCATCGAAGGCAAAAGCAGCAATAATCTGGTCGATCCAACTTGACACATCTCCTGCACGTGACGTGGGATGTGCATCAAGCGTCGCCCAGTGGCGTGCTTCTGCGTCTGACGTAATACGTGGCGTGAGCAATGCCACCAACACTGGACGTTAAATTATTAAACGCAATCGTACGACTACGTCGAGTCGACCTCACTTGACGGATAGGAGCGCGCCCGCTCGAGCGCAACGGGGGCCAAGAGGTCGACCATGCTGCCCCGGCGCTTCTTGAGCGACGCGAGGATGCTGTCGCTTGTCGATCGAAACGGAAAGCTGAGTTTGCGCACGGGCGGCGGCCGGTACGCCGTCTCCTTGGTCGGCAGCTCGTACTCGGCCCAGAGCGTGAGCATCGGCGCGAAATCGGCTTCGTTCGACGCGCTCGGACTCGCGATGCGCTCTGCGCTCTTCTTGCGCCGCGCCGAGTCCATGCAGCGCAGACAGATGGCCGCGGGCCGCGTCGGCAAACTCGCGCCGGCCACCTCGACGAGCCGCGTGCACACGCACGACTTGCACACTCTCTAGTAGCGATCCATACGACGTCGTCGTTTGCACTGAAAGCACACGCACCATGACGCACTGGCAGCACGTATGGGTCGTCGAGCCCCAATGGAAGGCGCGCTCGCACACGTGGCAGGCCTTTTGCGCCGTCTCGCTACGGCCAACATAGGATCATCGACGCCGAGATATACGTACGGGAGGGCAATGACTTGGAGCTGTGGCATCGCAAATCGCAAGTCGCCAGCGCGGGCTTGGTCCAAGTGCCTGAAGATGCCGGCAAAGCACTGCTCGACGTGCGAGATGATGTACGACGCATCGAGCTCATGGCTCAGTGAGCAGAGATACGACACGTCGATCTGATCTTGTGACGAGCTCGTGGCGAAAACGAGGCCGGTCATGGGTGCGTTCGGGCGGTCGCCGTCGGCGCCATTGTTGTCGACACTCGGGAGGGCCTGAAGCACGCGGAAGGCCAGCTGCCGCGCGCCGCTCTGCACCACGTCGACGTACTAGTACACAACAAAGATGTGCACGAAACGCCGATACAACGTCATACCTCGAGACAGACAAAGTCCTTGGCCTTCTGGAAGAGCTTGTCGTTCTTGAACGCGGCCGACGTCAATGCAATGTACCGGTTGGGCGACTCGGGCGTCGGCCCGACGATCGTGCGCAGGACGTCGCCAGCCACAAAGTCGGACGAGAGATTCCGCATCATGGCGCAGTATACCTCGGTCGTCGTCGCCAAGAGCGCGTCCGCGGCCAGGTTGAACGGCGTGTGCACGTGCATCGCGGTCGCGTGGACGTTGAGCGCGCCGGCGACGGACCGAAAGATGTTGCACCCGCGCTTCTCTCCGTGGATCCACGAGCAGAGCGTGTGGCGCGAGACCGCTCTCGCGAGCTGCGCGCCCATGTTGGCGGCCAGCGCCACGTACACGCTGTTGGGGCTCTCCATGCCAATTCGGAAGTGCGCCAAGACGGCCACGCTGCTCGTCGTTGCGGTTGAAACGGACAGAATATGCAAACGTTTAGTCCATATAGCTCTACAACGCGAAAATGATCAGCGACACGGGATCGAGCGGCACTGCATCACAGGGCTGTGTGTGGTGCATGCGGGTTGGCAGCCCAGCGATCGCACCGGCGGCGATCGCTGCTGCTGATTTGCAGTGCAGTGCAACCTCGTATCTCCGCCTGGCTGCGTGGGTTATATCGAACGCACGCCCACTTCCAGCCGAAACCAACGTTGCTGGACGCGTGCCAAGGGAGCCTCCTTGAAGAACCCGAGAAACAAGTAGTGACTTATTACGTTGAAGGACGAGACCACAACGTTATCCAATGCGCTGCTGGTGTATGCAACGAGATGAGCAACGACGCTGGTGGCTACGACCACAAGTGTGCTGAACAGTACTCGAGATTGCACTTCCAAACGCCAGGCTCTTCAACCACAGAGGTGCGAGAAGCATAATCGTCGCGCAAGAGGACGGACGCTACAAACTCACACTAGCTGCATCCTCGCTCTACTTGTAGTACTAGTATGCAATAAGAACTAGGGTGCTTGAGCGGAGAAGGATACGGTGCCTTGAGAGCGCGTCGCCGCTGCCGGTCTGGATCTCGTCGTCAGCGTCGTCGTGCAGTCGTTTGATTGGCCAAAATGCCGCCTTTCCCGTATTCAATGACTTGAATCAATTGTCCATAGAAATATCAAGTATAAAGGTGTGAAAACAATATTAAATGCCCGACACGGCCTTTTTGCGCCAGTTTTGGAACCTGCGCGACGGATGCAAGCCAACTTTGGCCGGAGCCACCGCCCGATGGGCAACCACCTGCACCAGCGCCACTTCCCGCAGATGCGCAGCGTGCTCATCCTGCTTCTCCCGCTCGCCTGCCTCTGCGTCGTCTTCTACGAGGTCGTCTACCTGCAGAGCTACGCGGCGACGCCGTCGACGTACCACAACATGCCCGTGTACGACGAGCACTTTGCGCTGAGCAAGCCCGTGGTAACGCGGGTGAACGCGCTGCATGAACTGACGCCGTCGGTCACAAAGAAGCGCACGCACAGCCTGCGGCAGCCGACCGACGCAGCGACAACGGCGGCTGCGACAACCAACGCGCCGACGACGGGGGCGCCGACCACCTCGCCGCCGCCGGTGGTGTCGCCGGCGTTCGTGGGCAAGACGCCCAAGCCGGTTCACGCCGCCACCGTGCCGCCGGACGCGGTCAACGGCCGGACGACCATGGTGCTGATCGCCAACTACCGCGATACGCGCCGGTGCGCCGAGACCCTCGACTCGCTCTTCACGACCGCCGTGCACCCCGAGCTTGTCCACGTGAGCATCTTTGACCAGATCTACCTCGATAAGGGCGAGATCCGGTGCATTGACGCGTACTGCAGCAAGGTCGGCGAAGCGGCGTGTCGCCGGTCGCAAATGGTCAACAGCACGATCGACGCCGACGACGCGACGGGCCCGACGCGCGCGCGCTACGAGACGGAGAAGGGTATCAAAGACGAAGATTTCTGCCTTGCGATCGACTCGCACCTCGTGTTTGTCAAGGACTGGGACGCCGAGCTCCTCTCGCAGTGGGACTCGCTCGAAAACGACCATGCGATCATCACCGTGTACCCCAAGTCGACCGAGCTCCTCAACAACACCGAGTACGCCAACCAGCTCCAGCTCATGTGCCACGCGCGCATCGAGTCTGCGGATCCCGACACGATGATCCAGTACGGCGCGCCGATTTGGATTCCGCAGCCGCCGACGCCGCGGCTCATGTCGCAATTTGCTGGCGGCTTCAACTTTGGCAACTGCGTCCAGGCCACGACTGTCCGGAACGACCCGTACACGCCGTTCCTCTTTCACGGTGAAGAGTACTCGCGCGCGGCGCGGCTCTGGACGAGCGGGTACGATTTCTACGTGCCAAAGAAGGACGTCGTGTACCACTGGTACGAAGAGCGCAAGGTCATTTGGGAAAAGGACTGGGACAAGCGGTACTTTGTGCAGCAAAAGGCCAAGCGCCGCATCCGCCACGCGCTCGGGCTCTCGTTCACCGAAGACGACTTTGACCACACGGACATCGACGCGTTCAAGCTCGGGTCGAAGCGCACGTTTGCGCAGTGGATAGAGTTTTCGGGCATCGACCCGAACGCTGCGTACGTCGGGAAGGAAGACAACCAGTTCGACAACTGCAAGGAGCTCACGTATGTGCCGTACTAACCCCATCAAATAGACCCATCGATACGACATATTGTCTTGTGAAATTACAGCTCGTCCTTGGGCGGGTGGCGCGCCATGTGCTCGGCCTCGAGCAGCGACGCGTACGCCTGCGTGTTGAAGTGCAGCCGGCACGTCGGGCACGGAAAACCGCGGTGGTACACAGGCGAATACCAGAAGTTGACGGCGACGTTGCGCGGCTCGTCGGTGGCCGGCGACGACGTGACCTCGTGCCACCAAAACGACGGCTATCGGGAGTTGATAGATTGATACGAGCCTTGATACAATCTGGATAGAAATCGTACGAGGAAGAGCGCGTCGCCTTCGTGGATCGTGCAGCGCAGTGGCGTGGCGTCTTGAAAGCGCGGGTACGTGTGCATGTCGTTTGGGCTGTTGATGTCGACGGGGCTGTTGACCATCGAGGTCGACTGCAGGAGTCGCGTGCGAGATATGACACCGTCGTCATCAATGTCGTACTGCGCCTACGCGTTGACAGCACGTGAGGTGCCCTGGTAATCTGGATAGTATCCCAATCTGAGATCGATCCAGATTGGATAGCTCGTGGTGATGCGAGTCGAATACCTCGCGGATGTGGCCTTCATACAGCCGACGATTGTCCGACGGATCGAAGAGCACAAACTCTTTCGAGCCCGCGACCATGACCATGATATTCTCATACGCGTCAAAGTGCAGTTTACCCACCTAGAACACACGGTAATCTCTCTGTCGCGCTGAGAAAAACGCGTCGACGTACGCTTTTGCCATCGCCAAACCAGAGGTTTTGGACTTCGAGCGTCAAAAAGTCGGCCCAGGGGTACGATGGAATATCCGAGAGGAGCTCGGGCACATACGTCGTCAGCGAGAGATACTCGAGGTAGTACGACGTCGACGAGTTGGTCGCTCCCCGCAGCTTGCCAATAAAGTCGGCAAAGGGCATGTTGGCGGCGGCCGGCCGGACAAGGACGCGGTCGGGCGATTCAAGGTGGGCGGCGACAAAGTCTGGGATCGCTGCGTCCTCTACACGGTGCACGCGATATCCCACCGCACAAAGCGAGACGAAGTGCGATTACCAGCCGTTGACCACCACGCGAGCGGCTCGCAGCCTTCAAAGTCACCGGTCGGCGACACTTTGACATGCACGTCGTTGCGCCCGATCCGCTCGAGGAGACGCTCCGTCGACCACGCCGGGCTACGCATCGCAGTCTACCCATACACGTGTCACTGGCTGTTAGCAAGCGTGAACGTACAGTCGCTGCGTTTCGAATGATGAGCGGTTCGTTGCGGAGAACGTGGTCGCGGAAGCGCGCTGTCGTCATCTCGCTGGCGTCAACGACCTTGCACGAGCGGTCTGTGGTTGAACGCGGAACGGTATATCGGCTCGACTCGAGGGCGTTGGCGGTCGCAGCGATCGGCTGCAGCGAGCCATCGAGAGCGCGGAACGTGTGGGCATGGCGGTTGACGAACGCGACGATCGCGTCGTGCGTCACTGGACCTTCTGTAAACACCTGCGGCGGGGGCAACCCGGGCAAGAGGCATGTGCGTGGTGAGAAGGCGTCGTGCTTGGGGTAGTAGAGCAGGCTCGACGACGAGAGGGGGTCGGGCACAACCTCCTCGACAAAGCAGAGGTCTTCGAATGCAAACGCGGCCTTAGCCTGCCGGAACGCGTTCAGGGACGAGCCCATCGGCCCCTTGTAGACGACGCTTTTGCAGCTTTCATTGAGCGCGGGCCCTCCGAAGAGCGACGCGCTGACGTGGCCAGCGCTCAGCGCGAGGACCGCAAGCATGGCGTCGAGTTGCATTTTTGGATTTGTTGCGTGCGTGCGCCAGACGCTGTTCCAAACAGAATAACATACAGAATCGGCGACGGTCGATCACCAACCAACGTCATGCTCGAGAGACAACAACCATAGAATACCCTCGCGCTTCCGGCCATAACGCATCCATCAAAGGCTGAACGATTCTTCCGTGGCCCGAGCGCGCTGCTGGCCTGTGAGGAGCTGGCAGCACACCTTGTGCGCGACCCAGTAACGAGTATAAAACATGTTTTAAACCACTACATGTGTTGAAAACCACGAAGCGATCCGATTGGCCAAAATGCTGGTATCTACGCGAGCAATCGAATACAATTCGAATCTCGCCGGCATTAAAATACCAGATGAAACTCTGTACTAGGCAATGGTATGGCGGAGAGGTCTAAATAAAATATTACGAATAATATTATACCGCAATCCTTGTGGCGGGAGCTTTTTAAGGTGGGAGTTTGTTCGTTTTCCAGCGCCGCCGAGAGCAGAGCGATGGCCACCAAGACGACGCTTCCGTGGGTCGAGAAGTAGTACGTCCATCCTCCTCCGCCGCCGCCGGCGAGCATGGGCTCATGCGTCTACCTAGCCGCCCGAAGAACGTCAGCGATATCTCGCACCAGGACGAGGTCGTCAACACGCTCAAGTCGTCGATCGCGAACGGCCAGCTGCCCCACCTGCTCTTCTACGGCCCGCCGGGCACGGGCAAGACGTCGACGATCATTGCCGTCGCGCGCGAGCTCTTTGGTCCCAAGTTCCGCGAGAATGGCCGGTTCCTCGAGCTCAACGCGTCCGACGACCGCGGTATCAGCGTCGTGCGCGAAAAGGTCAAGGCGTTCGCCCAAGGCGCGATCAGCGGGTCGTCGTCCATGCCGCCGTTCAAGATCATTGTACTCGACGAAGCCGACTCGATGACCAACGACGCGCAGTCGGCGCTGCGCCGCATGATGGAAAACTACTCCAAGGTCACGCGCTTCTGCCTCATCTGCAACTACGTGAGCCGGTACGAACTCGCTATGCGAACGACAGGTAGCAAACACACTGTGGTAGGATCATCGAGCCTGTCGCGTCGCGCTGCGCTAAGTTTCGCTACCAGCCGCTGGAAGTGACGTCCATGACGGCGCGCATCCAGTACATTTGCGGGCAAGAGGACGTGGCGTGCGCGCAGGACGCCGTCGACACGCTCCTCGAGGTCTCGAACGGCGATTTGCGCAAGGCTATCAACTACCTCCAGAGTGCCAAGCAGCTCAACGGCGCCGAGATCACGAAGGACGATATCTTGGCCATTGCTGGCGTACGTCTCGCACTATTCTACCTCGTCGTCGCTCATGCATGCGTCTAGGTGGCCCCGAAGGAGCTCTTTGACAAGCTCTGGCGCCACATCGAGTCCAACTCGTTTGATCTGATGAAGAACGAAGTCGACGACATTATTTACAGCGGGTTCCCCGTGCTCACGATCCTGCACCAGCTCGTGGACGAGATCTTGGCCCACAAGAGCATGTCCCCGGGCAAGAAGGCGCAAGTCTGCCTTCACATCGCCGAAGCCGACAAGAAGCTCGGCGACGGCGCGAGCGAGCACCTCCAGCTCCTCGACGTCGCGTCGTTCCTGATGCAAACGTACCACGAGAAATAAGACTGCGGCATATACGACAGCCGTGTTGCTCTCATGCGTTAACTACATGTGCGTGGGCGGGTTGATGCTCGCGCTGCCTTCTTGCAGCGTCGAGAGCTGGCGCCACGTACCGTTCGACTCCTTCCACAACGACACATGGTCTTCGCCCGCAGCGACGCTCAAGATGTTGCCTACTCCCATCACATGTTGAGTGCAGAGAACTTGACGACGAGAGTTGCCCGAGATGACACCTACCCGTGATGGACCAGCTGAGGCGAAGCACGGGCGACTTGAACGTGGGGAGGACCACCGACGACCACGGACCCCCCGCCGTGGACTGCGTCCAGACAGCGACCGTGTGATCGTCCGAGCAGCTCGCAATCGTATTGCATGGCATGCCAGCGCTTGGCGCCCAGAGCACGTCGCGGACCCAGTCCCCATGGAGCGGTGGCAGCTCGTCGATGCTAGAGGCAGCATAAGATTTTATGCATCGGCGCAAATGCAAGCAGTACCGTTGCCACGTGCGCGAGCTGTCGGCGTCGCTAAGCGTCCAAATCTTGACAAGCGAGTCGCAGCTACCGACAACGAGGCGCTTGTGGCCCTGGCCCCCGAGCGAATTGTACGGTGCCCAGCTCAACGCCATGCAGCCAACGTCGTTGTCGTGGAAGTGCGACGTCATGACCCAGCCCTCGCGCGTCATTGTGAGAACGGCGACAGTGCCGTCAGCAGAGGCAGACGCAAGCATGAGACCATACTCGTGCGGTGCAAAGTCGATAGCGTTGATGCTCGACGTGTGGGGCGTGTGCACGTGGAACTGGACCCAGTCCTCGGGCGCGGCCGCGGGCGCACGGTTGCGGAAGAAGACGATCTTACCGCACTGCGTCGAGGCGGCGAGCACGTTGAACTTTGGGTGCGACCACGCAATGCGCCAGACCGGGCCATCGCATGGGACCGGCAAGCAGGCGACGAGCGCACCCGGCGTCGTCGCGTCGCCCTTGGTCTTGGCCTCGTAGATGCGCACGGAGCGGTCACCCGAGCACGTCGCAATGTGCTTGCTATGATAGTCCATCTTCATGTCGTAGATCATGTCCATGTGGTCCGTCTCGAGGCGGCCCGCCGGCGTCGCCGTCATTGTCGGGTCCATGCTGGCTGGAACAGACAGGTTTCGTTGTCATCGGTTCGGATACTATGGTATGGTTATCCGGACAATAAGGTTTTTGACGCAACTAAGAAGGTCCTGACGTGGCGCGCTCTCGTATCAGTATGCTGTCGTGGACCAATCAGCGCGCGCCACGAAAGATCTCCCGCGCAATGCGAGTCGCACAGCGCTCCTCGAAGTAGCAGCAGCAACAACCCCTCGCACTACGATGACCATCACCCGACGACAAGCGTCCTAGCCTCTCCTGCATCGCTGTCCAGCACAGCGCCTCGGCCCAGTCCATGGGCAAGAAAACAGCCATGCCAGAGGTTTTGCCTGTCGTCGAGTCACGATCTTCCAACGCATCAACATGCAGCGTTTCGGGTAATACAGTTTTACGGCGGGACGGGTCGACCAAGCCTTGCTGCTTGGCTCGCCGAAAAGCGAACGCGAGATCGCGTACTGTTGTCGCCACCAGCCGGTGGTCCCGGTGGTCCCAACCTATCACTTGTCTGATATTTTCGAGTTGCGAATGAAAATCAACCGGCCGAAGCTGTTCGATTACTTACTCGTGCAAAGCAGAGCTACTCACGCCTACGTCCTTCTCGCTCCCTCTCGCAGCGGTGCGTCATCGCGCTTGGACTCGCTTGCGATGACGCGCGCAGTATAAATAGTCCTTGCGCAAGTTGCCCTGTCGATGCGACGCGAGCCAAGATCCAAGTCGCATCTCGTTGGACCAATCACGTTGTGCCACACGATGAAACCGGTATATGCTAGGAATAAAAATACGCTCGTATTTTAATTCGGATGCGAGGCCTCACCAGCTGTGGATACCTGCGCGCTAGCGATCGGAACAAAAAAATACGGCGCATTTTTATCACGCCGGCCGGCCGATTCGAGAAGATCGCGCGAATGGCAACGGCCACATACAAAAAGCAAGATGTTTGGCCGAAGAACAGAAAAAGAAAAGAAGGGGTAGGGGTCCATGAATCAACTGGCGCCTTTGTATGGGCGAGAAAGAGGCGGAGCACGATTTCAGCCAACCAGCGGCCAGTATTCGTCAGAAAGGAAAAAGAGCCGAGAAGCTCAGAACCCGTTTGTTGACTGACTGGACTTGAGGTAAGGCGGCGACGGCTCATGGAGGCAGCGCCGCAAGACGACGCTTCCTCCATGCACCTACGACGACGATGGGCGATGCTCATGGCCCTCTTCTTCCATGTAGTTCTCTTCCTCAGCACCATGAACCCCGAATAGTACGTGAACATGGAGCGATATCGGGACAGGCAGCTCACGAGCATGCTCTTGTAGCGACTACCTGTTCAAACTGCTCCTCATCGGTGACTCGGGCGTCGGCAAGTCGTGCTTGCTCCTGCGTTTCGCCGACGACACGTACACGGAGAGCTACATCTCGACGATTGGCGTCGACTTCGTAAGCACATGCAAGCGCGCGATGGAGAGGCTCATGGCACATGGTAGAAAATCCGCACGATTGAGCTCGACGGCAAGACCATCAAGCTCCAGATCTGGGACACGGCCGGCCAGGAGCGCTTCCGCACGATCACGAGCAGTTACTACCGTGGCGCCCACGGTATCATCGTCGTGTACGATGTCACGGACCAGGAGTCGTTCAACAACGTCAAGCAGTGGCTCCACGAGATTGACCGGTACGCGTGCGAGAACGTCAACAAGCTCCTTGTCGGTAACAAGAGCGATTTGACGGCCAAGCGCGTCGTGAGCACGGACGCGGCCAAGGACTTTGCCGACAGCCTCGGCATTGAGTTCCTCGAGACGTCGGCCAAGAACGCGGCCAACGTTGAGAAGGCCTTTATGATGATGGCCGCACAGATCAAGAAGCGCATGGCGAGCGCCCCGATGCAGTCGAAGCCCGCCATCAGCCTCCAGCCCGGCCAGAACGTCTCGGGCAAGTCGGGCGGCTGCTGCTAAGCTCTCTAGTGGTTTGAACTCTGTGAAGAGTGCAGAAACCATGGTTGCTTCTTCCCACGACGATGTGCTCTTGAGCTCCTGCGAGTAGCCATGGATATTTTATATTTTTCACAACGTATTTTGCATGACAATATTGTGGTGTTTACATGTCGTGGAAGGCGAAGATCTCGGCCCGCATGACATACGCGACCGCCAGCGCCACCAGCACGACGACAACGGGCAGGACAACGCCCAGCGTATCCTTGCGTTCCCACTCGGGGGCCACGGCCGTTGTTGGTGCAGCCTCTGTCGTAGCTACGGGGGAGGCTGCCTTGGCGTACGGCTTGACCTTGCGCTCCTTGAGCTACGAGACAACGACGGGATTGAATTCGCCTGTTGCCGTCGTCAGCTCGTACCGACTGCTCAAACTCGTCGATCTTCATGCGCAGCTGCCAGGGCACCGAGATCTTTTCGGCCTGCAGCACCTCGATAAGCTCATCGCGCTTGGCGAGGAACGCCACGTAGAGCTGGAGGACGGCCTCGCCCAGCTCTGGGTCCTGCTTGGCCTTGAAGTGGGCATCCTGGAGCTTCACGTCCATCTGCACGAGCTCGTTGCTGAGACCCGTGATGACGTCCGTGCGCATCTCGACGTGCTGCAGCGCTTCGGTGAGGAGCGACGCCATTGTACTCGTCAACCAAAACGCAAAATGGCAAGCCTCGTGTTCGCTGCGATTGGCCAAATATGTTGACACGTTTGGTTTTGATTGGACAAAATGGGCACGTTGGACACACTTTCGTTTTGCGGTCCTGGCTGGCGCTGCAATCGTCGTTGCCTTGGGACTCGAGCGACTATCTTGGACATTCGAGGTCTATCTAAGGAGCCTTTATATATCAAGCATCGCGACTTATTCCTCCATGGAATCTACCGGTTTTGCTACCGGAAGGCAAGATCGGCGCCCCGGGCGTTTACTTGTCTTGGGTCTATGCACGCGTAGTCGGGAGACACCGAACAAGAGGAGGCCACCCACGTCGAGCTCGACGCACTGCCTTATAATCCTACCTGTTTTATTAGTAGAGGACTGCAGTCGCTCGTACAAATCGTCCCAGAGAGAGCCAAGCGAGTCGTTGTGCCCTTTCTGGGATTGAGTTCAAGATGCATGTCGTCTTGGGATTGGCAGAAACACTTTTAAATCCTGTCGATACGCGCGTCCATTGGCCAAAAAGATTTCCCGCGAACCACGGGAGCGCCAATTCGACTATGTTTAGCATCAACGGCCCCAGTGGGCCGACGAACCGCAATGAGCGGGTGCCACGACCGCCCGGCAGCGAGAAACGCAAGGGACCGTCGTCGCATGCCCCTCGTCGGCCAACGACGGTCCCGAGCTCCGGCCACCCGACGCTGAGCGCCATCTTTCAAGTTGGCCATCGACTTGCCCTTTCTGGCCATTTTGACACGCTCGTAGGGATGCAACTTGTACTTTGACGGACGCACCGGCAACGTCTCGTCGTCCGACTTTTGCGTCTGCGCATTCTCGATGGACTCATTTGGTGGTTGATGTAGCTACTACATGACCAAGATGGTCAAAGAACATGGCGCCACCGTCTCGTACATGGCGCCTGCAAGGTGGCGACTGAGATCATGTATGTACTAGCATCATGCACCGCAAAACGCGGGTGACCCACATTGTGGCCGAGAACCTCAACGGCTCCAAGACCGAGGCCCTTCTCAAAGTACGTCGATTCGCAGCTAGCGTTGGTCTGACATCGCTTCGAGTCGGGGGGAAAGATTTTATGCGTCCACCCGAATTGGGTCCTGGACAGTATCAAGAAGGGGAAGCGCCAGCCCGAGTTCAAGTACGCCATCTACAAGGACGCGGCGGCTGCCTCGAGTATTTCGACCTTTTTCAAACCACCGACAACGACAACGTAATCACAGCCCTTGTCGTCCATGGACCTCCTACTACAATTACAATCGATCGATCGGAAGCCAACGTATTCACCCTTTTCGTGAACAGAAGAGAGTAGCGCGTGAAGTTGCAGGGATCCTGCTTCTCCGTTGCCGCAAGCAATAGCAAGGTTCATAGCCGCATGGCATGACGATGCGGGCAGGCGGTGCACCGTTGCTTCACACTGCGAGACGTCTTCATCTGCACGCTCCATTGGCTCCATCCACCAGCCAACAGAGCTCGTCGAATCATGACAGATACATTTACCAGAACCCCGCATGTCGCCTGCCATCGTTGCGTGGAGATGACTTGGTGAAATCAAGGTTGCCGAGGCGGCAGATGGAGGCAGACGTCTATAGCATAATCGGTCGTATGGGGAAGTCGTTGCATGCCCGGCGTGGTGCTAGCGTGCTGACTTGGTGTTTGGCGCGACCGTTGAACTGGTGACCATCTTGACAACAGGATCGCCGCACGCTGATTGGCTCGTTTTTTGCGGTGTGCACTTTCGAGGTTTTTTGCGTCCGATGCTTCGCCGCCTGTCGTCGTTCCACAGCTTCCGGAGCTTCTCGACGGCCACGGACGCGGCGACTGCGTCGCTCCAGAAGGTACCCTCGGGTGCGATGCGGTAGGGCCTCACGCCTTCACCGTTATGCGCAGGGCCTCTCCAAGAACAGCAGCAAGCAGCAGCCGCCAGCGGACGACAAGAAGAAGGCGCAGCCTGTCGAAGACACGAAGGCCAAGCCCGTGGACCCGCAGCCGTGGATCCAGAACGCGGCCGAGATGAACCTCGGGTCGTTTGCGCCCAAGATCGTCGTTGTCGGCGTCGGCGGCGCGGGCGGCAACGCAGGTCCGTCGTTCTCCCTCTCTCTCGCGGCCGATGCACCGTCGCCTAGTCAACAACATGATTGCGCGCGGCCTCAAGGGCGTCGACTTTCTCGTGTGCAACACGGACGCGCAGCACCTCAAGACGACGCTGACCGACAACCGCATCCAAATGGGTTCGGAGCTCACGGGCGGCCTTGGCTGCGGCGCCAACCCCGAGGCCGGGCGACTGGCCGCCGAGGCGAGCTTGGACGAGATCATGGACAAGATTGGTCACGCCAACATGGTAATACCCTGCTTTGTGTGATACACAATGTGTTGATCGATGTCTGTAGATGTTTGTGACGGCGGGCATGGGCGGTGGCACCGGTACGGGCGCCGCCCCCGTGATTGCGCAAGCGGCGCTCGACTCTGGCATCTTGACGGTCGGCGTCGTCACCAAGGTACGACACGCACGACTCGACGCATTGGTTAACCGCTTTGCGCAGCCGTTCAAGTTTGAGGGCAGCCACCGCGCCAAGCTCGCCGAGCAAGGCCTCCACGAACTCAAGCAAAGCGTCGACACGATGATTGTGATTCCGAACCAGAACCTCTTCAACATGTCGACCGAGAAGACATCGCTCATGGACGCCTTCCGGTATATCCTCGTCATCCTCATCTCTGCGTCCTAAGGAGCGTAGCGTTGCCGACGACGTGCTGCTCTCGGGCGTCAAGAACATCACCGACCTCATGGTCATGCCGGGGCTCATCAACCTCGACTTTGCCGACGTCCAGTCGGTACGACAATATCTTCCATTGACGCACCATGCTGAACCGTACCAGGTGATGACGCGCATGGGTAATGCCATGATGGGCAGCGGCGAGGCCGAGGGCGACAACCGCGCGCTCCGCGCCGCCGAAGCCGCGCTCTACAACCCACTTCTCGGCGACCTCTCGATCCGTGCGGCCAAAGGCATGCTGGTCAACATCACGGGTGGGCCGGACATGACGCTCTTTGAAGTCGACGCCGCCGCCGAGCGCGTGACGCAGGTACCGTCATCCATCGTGTAATGGCGCGTCTGCATTGCACGCTATACATAGGAGGTCGAAGACCCGCTCGCCAACATCATCTTTGGCTCGTCGTTTGATGCGAACATGACGGGCAAGATCCGCGTCTCGGTCGTCGCGACCGGGATCGCGGACGAAGGACGTTCGAAATAAGTCGTCTTATGACGTCCTTGACATGACAAAGACAAAATGACTGCTGTAGATATATGATGAGGTTGAAAGGCGACGAAGGAAAGGGTTCATAATTAGATAGTCTAGTGGAAGATATGTCGTAGTAATTGTACACGAGGTAATACGGAGCGTAGTAAGTAGAGCGAGTCTAGATCAAGATGCCGGCGGCCTTGGTCGCTCGGCCCGACGCCATTTCCCGTTGAATGTCGTCAAGCTCGAACGTCTCCCACATCGTCGAGAGCCGGTACATCTTTTCCTGCTTGGTGTTGGCAAAGCCATCCGCGATGACCACGTCCTTGAGCGCATCTAGAACGGACGGCCGCGCGTCCGTGCATTTACTTGCGCCGTCCAGATACGACGACTCGTGGTCATGCTGCTGACACGTCGACTCTTTGATGAACGAACACTTGGCCTGGCGTAGCGTCTTGGAGTCGCTCAGTGATTTCGAGATGCGCGTGCGCCGCTTGGAGACTGCGTACGACATGTCCTTTGCCGAGTTCATGGTCGAGCAGTCCGAGTCGAGGCCGCCGTTCTTGGTGCGCTGCGTGAGCATGAGGTCGTCGTCGTCGGCGTCGCGTCGGACGATCGACGAGTGCCGATGGATCGGCTGCGCGCCGCGGTAAAAGAAGGGCCGGACAATGTTCTGGAGGCCGGCGCCGCACGTGTTGCACTTTGGCTTGGCCGAGAACGCCCGGCCAATGAGCACTTGGATGAAGCTTTGGAGGTCGCGGACGCGCTGGCGCACGAGCTTGTTGGTGCGAAACCAAGCCTTGGGCGGAAACGGGAACGACGCAATCGCGAGCGCCGTGTTGGCGCAGCCCGGACAGCCTTGGGTGCGCTCCAGAAAGCGCAGCACCTTCTCGCGCAGCTCTAGAAACTGCGAGTAGCGCCGGTTGACGGTCCACTCGGCGATGGGCGCGTCGTCGACTTTGACGCAGATGCAGTAGAGCGTGTGCGATGGCCGCTTGAGCGCCGCCGGGATGAAGACGACGATGCCCACGGCGGCGTCCGCGATCGACGTCTGCATGCTCGTGGCTGGTCCCAAGCGCGAATGGCGCCGTGCGTAATGCGGTGCAATCTTAGAGCGCGTGTCACACCCAGCGCATTGAATATATTGATTAAATTGCATACAAACACCACGATAAACAGGAAACTATAAAACCATTCGAAGTGGATCAGATCTTCGACAAAACTTCGTCGAAGCAACATTGTGAGTTACGATTGGTCCATTTTGGCGCGGCCTGGTTTGAGGGCGGAGATGAGGACTTTGCCTTTCTCGGCGAATGTGATATGGCCGCCACGGCGACTGCGCCGGCCGCAGTGCTACTACGACTCACTGCGCATGGGCTCCGGCTTGTGAGGCCGTCGGGCCATGGAGACGCAGTCGCGATAGACGGGCTGGAAAGCGGGTGCGAGGATGGAGCGATTCAGCGCCTGCGATACTGCGCATGGATGACGCCGGTCGACGCGCCGAGGACATTCAGCAGTAGAAACGAAGACCTGGCAAGGTTTCTTGTGCACCGATCTCTGCAGCTGCCATGACGCACCAGCAGCGCGGAGGATGCGGTCCATCAAAGGTATCGAAAGGCGCATCCGGCTTGCAACGATGGCAGCTGGGGGATAGGATGGACCGTCGAGTGTCTGTGCGGCGCGCTGTTGGATGACGCTAGGCTTGTCCGTTGGCGTCAGGCCGAACGTGGTGGACGTGAGGTCCAGACCGCAAATCTTGGTCGTGGGCGGGATGACCCCAGATCGCGCCACGTGTGTTTGCCGATTCCAGCTGTTTTGGGGGGACCCGTGTCGCGAATCGCATTGGGGGGGCCCAATTTTGTTGAAATTTGTGTTGGGCCCCATGCGTTTGGCGCAGCTTGCGCTCGAGCGCAACGTCCGCTCTGTGCTCCTCGACCTCTCGACCGGGTACCACGTACGTCGCCGATATCGGTCGCAAGATTGCGCCTCACGCTGACGCTCTAGGCGGCCACGTGGCATGCGATCCTTCCCGCCCTCCGCAAGTAGACGACGACCTGCGTTGCCATGTCGCTCATGGCCCACGCTACTGCTGTAGGTCGGGCTACAAGCTCGGGGTGCATCTTCCGCCGGCCGCGACGCTGGATGGCGCCTGCGACTTTGCTACGACCGAGCGCATGGTGCGTATGGTGTTGTCCATTGCACAGGCAGATTCTACCAGGTGGCTAGAGTCAAGCGGCGTTCCTTGACGCGGCCGCCTCGACGCTCGCCGTGCCGGCGAGCCGCACGCTGATCGTGCACCCAAACGCTGGCGAGCATATTGCAATGGTCGGCCTCGATACCAGCACAGCGGTGCCCTTCCCGACGCCGGATACGCTCGTGCAAGGTGCACGCCCATGCCTTCTTGGCCTGTCTTTGACAAGCGTACAGATCTGCTTGGCTTCCAGCATTGCCTCGACCCACTCTACCGCGCCTTTGGCCCGTACCCGATTCGGTTCTCCGAGGTCTTTTACGAGTCGGCGCACTCGGTCGCCCTCGTGAACCTCAAGCCGATCGTGCCAGGTACTACTACAAGCGTCATCATTCACACGGCAATAGCGTTGCCGTAGGCCACATCCTCGTCATCCCAACGCGCCGCATTGCTCGCTTCACCCATCTCGACGCCGATGAAGTCGCCGA